TGATACACGATGACATTTATTTTGGGATTTGTACGGGTCCGGCGTTGGCCCTTTTCTCTGTGGCCGTGGATCGCTACGTGAACGCATCTTTCGTCGGGACTGCCTACGCGTCCGTCCCGTAATGACCGTGGAATGCTCTCAAAAGTCAGGTTTCGCCGTCACCAGTGAACTGGACCGCTCGAAATAATTAGGGGATCGCGTGCTTGGAACGGGGAAACCGGTGACTTGAATGGTATTTAGGTTATCGCTCTACTCTTATGGATTTTATTACCATTCTTTTTCTTCACCTTCTTCTTCTTCGCTCCATTCCATGTAATATATCCTCAATTTTTATGAGTTACGCTAGATTTTGAGTCTCTTGGCTTGCTCGCTGGATCTCGGTTGGCTTGCTTATCTAAACAAAACGTGACGGAAGATCGATGGGAGATTTTTGATGCGAGAAGCGAACAATCGCGTGAAAATTGTGCAAACGCAGATGCCGTTTAAGGAGCCTCCGCCACCCTAGTGGCCAGATACGGGGGTATAAAAAGGGAGCACGTGGCAAAGATCAAACAGCTGGATCATCTCGTGCGTGCGTGCCTCTAGGTAAGGATCTTTTTCTTGCGGAAAAGGTGGGTACACGGCTACGACCCAGGTGCAACCTCGGAAACCTTGGATGGCGTGCGTGACAATGCGCGTACGCGCGTGTAGGATTCGTCGTGACGTGAAAGTCGTTCGAAAGGAGCAAAAAGAAAAAAAAGAAGAAAGAAAAAAAGAAAAAAGGCACGGCTTCTCCGCAAACAGTACCGCACGAAAACAGAGAGAATCTACGGTTTCACTGCTTGCGCTGGTGGTTGATTAACCCGTTAACTGTCGGAAATAGGATTTCTTGAATATAAATGGAAGAATGACAGAACGATGTTCACACGTTTATTTTCTCTCGTGCAAATACTAGTATTTGCGTTGAATTAACTTTGTTTAAATTACTTTTATTTGAAAAATCTGTAGAATGAGCTCGTCTTTTGTATTGAATCTGCAGTTACTCGCGAAAAATCTTTCTATCGATGTGCTTCGGTTAATTGAGAAATGAAACGATTGGCTGATGCTTTTTCAGTGTGAAAAATTTACTTTAGGATGTAACATTGTAATGTAAATTAATCGAAATTACGTCCAATAAATACTCCTACACTTAGCAAAAATGAATATTCTGAATGTACCAATAAAAAGACTACTTTTTAAAATAAATCTCAGATTAACTATCGAATTCATTAGAAATCTAATTCGACCATTGACACTCAATTCGCTTAAGAGCAAATTTAATTACTGCCCATTGACTTCCAACTTTTTACAATAATTCCAACTTTAATTTCATCCGTTTTCCACATCTTTACCTACGCTGTCTTTAATAACCGTTTTATCAGCATCTAAATATTTCCACTGCTACCTACAACTGCAAACATTCACCTTAAATGTCAGTATCCAAAAAAAAAGAAATCATTTACACTCCTTGCACGTGAAATGATTAAAATACAAAAGCATCAGCTCATCGTTAATAAGATTCCGACGCAACCAGATATGCATAACGTTCCCATGAATAAAGGCATTCGATGTGGGCACAGGAATCGAGGAAGCGACAATTGAATCAACCTAAACGAACAAGAATCACACCAGCTACGTTACAGACAAGTGTGTTACGTGAACGTCGCGATGAAGTTGGCGAAGAAATCAGGAAACGACGAGAAGCGAATGACGCGCCCGTATGAATATCTATGCACACGCGCCACCGCATCGAGCCTGTAATTACGCGAGATTTTACGGATCGGAGACAGCGAATAGAGAGGCGCGTGGGCAGTTCGCGCTGAAGAACCGTCGTGAAGAGGGTATATCGAGGAGTGCAACGAGTTTCTAAGAGAGGCGTCGCTTCGACCCTGGCTCATTAAGGCTAATGACGCGGATCGGTGTAATTATTCCAATATAAGCGATAATTCCTTCCATCCTGAACCTATCAATTTGTTCTAATGACACCACCGAGTATACGTACACCGGTGGAACTCAGCTGCTCTCGATGGACGACGCGCTTACCAAATTACACGTCTTACCGATGTGCACGAACACGGCGCAATAAGGAAATTGTGATTTATGAAGAGACGTTGGCCACAGGTGATTTTATTAATCGAGTTTCATATTTATATAACTACGTGTACTTTTGTTCATTATTTTGAAACGGATAGGAAAACGACACGCGGCGGGGATTGTTGGTTACGATAAGAAGGGCGGGCGCGGTGAGTTAATATGGAAATGTACGGTTAATACCAGGCGGTAAATGGTCAGGAACGTGTGTAATGTTTAAAAGGAAGTAGACGAACGTTGAATATATTCATGGCACACGAGTTCCTAAAATAAATCGACTCTCGAGTATTCTGCACTTTACGGTTCTCTTCGTCCTCGTCGCCGTTGGTGTATCAGGCTCGGTCGCGTCCTCGCCTCTCTTCCGTGAAAAGAAACGAACAAAAAAAGAGAGAGGGGTAAACAGCGTGCGTCTAGAAAAAATTCAAATGGTCCGAGCGACCACTTAGCGAGTACTCACCCGGCGTAGTGGACACGTGTCTAAAGCGTGGCTAGAACCTTAACCACGTGTCAATATCTCGAGGGACGTTTGTTTACGAAAGCCGTAGAGTAGGCGAGACGTGTCGAACATTTTTATTAAAGAAACGTGGACAAAAGTCGACGGAAACCCTTAACCTATACGCCCGTCGCGTACGTTTCGTAAATGTACTTCGGTTTCGTGGAAAGGCGTGTGTATGTACGTACGAAGAACGTCCGGGCAAGCTAGGCGAAATCGAAAACAGACGCAAAAACCTGAGAAACACACTTGATACGTTCGCTACTGTTTTTCTATTTCTCCTCTGTGACACACGCCACGCGTTATATTCAGTTGTACGACTTGGAAACATCGTCTATCGGTATTATAGCACGCTACGTTCACGACTGTTCTCCATTGATAAAAAGTGCGATCACGTGACCGGGTCCGAGACGCACACTTGTTGCGCATCCAGCGAAGAATACATACGGCCGATGATAAATAATAGACGCCATGTTTCACTTACTTCTGATCGCAGGCACGCAACATGGAGAACGCGCAATTCGTTCGAAAGGCGTCGATCCCCATCGATCCTCCGCAATTCTCAGCATCCAACGCAGGCAGCGTGTTCCTTATCGAGGAGCTTTTGCGCGCGCAAGCACGCACCCTCGGCGCGTGGGCAGGCCCGAGCAGAGAAACCAGTAAAAGAGAGATATACCGTTCCCTCTCTGTTCGCCGCGTCGTATGCGCGTGTTTTCTCTCTTCTCTACCCACCGGAGAGGTAGATTCACCGTGGCCGTTCTCCGTCTCTGTCTAGCCAGTCGGTTACCTTGCCGGTAAAAACAGCACGAGGTGGCCGGTCGCGCGAACCAAGGGTAGGGGGATAGGCGTGGTTCGATTCTCGTCGGTGCTCTCAAGAACGATAGTGTTCGTGCGCCCACCTCGCGCCTACTGAGCTCGGTTAGGCCGACGGGAACACGAAGGGGGGCGAGTCTGGCCGAACGGGGACTGTGGTGGGGGTAGCTGGCACGGGCTAGTCGCAGTGGGGAAAGAGGAAGGGGAGTTAAGGTTCGCACACACGAAAATCAGTGGGGACGCGGCCTGTGCACGTGTAGAGAGTGAGCGAGCGAGCGGCTTGTGAGGGAGGGCGAAGGGAGTCGAACACGGCCGAAGGTGAAACCCGCGAGCCGTCGTAGCCTCGCAGTCGGCGCGAGACCGCGCTACTGGAAGGGTCGGTGTGTTGTCATATATGTGAATGGACGCAAACGCCTCTCTCAGATTCTCTCTTTCCACCACTTCTCGCCTCAATAGTAATCAGCTCGCTCGCGCGAGATACGCGACAACGACAAAACAACAAAACCATTAGACGACCGAGTATAGGAGAGAAACAGGGCGCGAGGAAAGAAGAGACGACGACGTGGCCTGCGTGTCGCGAAACAACCACCCTTTCCCGCCTCGCCGAGTGTGACCGGACCGGAGAAACAGAGAGAAACGGTTCTTTTTTTTTTCTCGTCTCGCCTCGACTCGTCGTAAACCGTACCACGACACAGGAGGAGACGCGCGGTCACATTCGTTTAGACCCCGTGTACAGAAAGTTTTCAATTCGAATTTAACCACCATCGCACTTGATATTTACGAGTTCGTATTATCAACGGAGAGAGCCGGAGAAAGAGAGAGAGAGCTCCGGGTGGTGGTGTGTGTGTGTGTATGTGTGTGATTCGAGGAAACACACGATCGCGGTTTGGATACGGCCGACGGACCGAAGAAGTCTGTGATCCCGATGTGCCTGGTTGTATATTATTTACGAAACGTATCGGTTCGTACAGCGTGTTTGTGCGCAGCTCGCGGACAGAACTGGGAAGAAGTGCGTCCCGCACGTAACGCGTGTGTTCACCGTGCAAAGGATAAAAGGTTGCCGTGACGTTTCCCGATTAACCAGCAACTTTTCCCCTACGTTCAGCAGTGCCATTTGTTGCTTCGATCGAAGTAAACTAATCGTAGTGAGAGGGCATAGAGAGGAAAACGTGTGCTAACTACCTACACACCGTCGTATAGATAGGAAAATCCGAAGAGAAAGAGAGAGGAAAGATAACGACGACGAAGGGCGCGGCGTGTATATTTGTGTGTGATATTCGATTTACGAGTCCGATCGTTGGTGTTGATTGTTTAATAATCGTCTATATTTATATATATACATATATATATATTTACCCGTGTATTTACCGGGTGCCTGTGTTATAAACTCGTTGCGACGGCTCGAAGACGATCGCTGCTGTGATAACGAACGATATTTCGTTCTGTAGAAAAAGAGAAAAAAAAAGAAGAAGAAAATAAGTCAGTTCAGTGCCTGTCTCTGTGATCCGTGACATTCACCACCGACGGAAGTTACCAAAACGGAAACGTCCAAACCGGACCGCCTTAAAGTGTCGCACGCTGGAAGGAGTTGAATTTTGAGATCATCGGATGCAAGGCAGCCTTTAACGATCACCGGGTAAGCCATAAAAGGCGAATTTCTTTGCTACCTCGTAAAACGTTGACGTACGAAGTACGCCACGGCCAAGATACACGCGTTATCTGCCAGTCAAGTGGCTATGCGACACACAACCGTTCGATCACCGTACCAATCTCTACAACGTAATTATCGATACGAATCATCGCGGCTTATCTATCGAATTCCGTATAAAGGGGCTGTGTATAGGCATATTTATATATATAGGCGCGAGAAACTCTGTCGTATCATACTCTCCGATTCTCGAAAATAAACAATTCGCGGAGGAGTAAACCATTTAACGTAACATCACTTTTACGCGCATGCGTTATGTAATTTCGTAAATGCATTTACATACGCGCAGCCTATCGCGTGTAGAACCTTTTCGCCAACTTATCACCTCGGATCATTTTTCGAACAAACTTTTTCGTCGTTGCACGTTAAGTGTAGTACCGTTGTGTGCACGGTCGGGTAGTGAC